TGCCTTACTGGCCCCAAGGGCCGGGCAAGGAGGTGTCAGGAGGTTAGCAGAGGCAGGGGAAGGGACCGGGTGCTGGAGGCTGAAGGGGCAGCACAAAGTCTGCACCTTCCCGTGGCCCGGGACTGGAGCCCTGACGTCAGCCTGCGCAGCCCCCGCAGCAGCCCCGGGGCTGAGGCATGAATGAGGCGCTGTGTTCCTCTGCAGCAGGACAGGGCACACAGGGCAGCAGCTCAGGAAGGTGCCTCAGCCATCTGCGGCTGCCTGCTGCTCCCTTTCGCCCTCCAAGGCAACAGGGCCCACTGGGGAGGCAGCACGTCCCTGAACACCATGGCTGTGGCGCAGCTGGGACTCCCAGGTCCCTCCCCAAGCTCCGACCCTGCCGCCCAGGCAGGAACCCCAAACCCAGCAGTCAGAGCATCCACCCCTGCTGCGTACCCAAGGCGAGTCCCTCGCTGCTCCTCTGCTCACTGTCCACAAAGCAAACCCAGTGCTGCCCATCCATAGCACGGGTGGCACCAGGGACCCCCCCCCCCCGTGAGCAGAGCCTGCCCACCCCGGCACCCCACCTTCCCTCCCAGCCCAGCCGCCTGCTCACCCGCAGCAGTAATGGAGCTCCTGGCCACGCTCCAGAGCACAGGGGAAGGTAATGGCTATCGATCCAGGACAGGGAACAGAGCAGCTTCCCGAGAGGCTGGGGGCAAAGCAGCCCCGGCCGGGCACAGCAGAGACAAGGTCTGCGTCACAGCAAGGCTGGGAGTGCCACTGCCACCAGCCCTGTGGGTGCCAAAGCAAGGGGGGTCCGCACGCCCCGGGCTGGCACGCAGCCCTGCAGGAAGGGACAGTGGTCTGTCCCCCAGCAACAGGGCCAGCCAGCTCGGCACCCACGGCCCAGCCCAGGTATGGGAGCTGGGGACAAGAGGCTGGAGGAAACCAGCTGTGTCAACAGCTCCCTTGATAGTGCCGCTCGGTAACAGCCACGGAGCCTCGCAAGGGAGGCAACTTCAAAGGGCAATGCCGTGCCCACAAAATACTCTTTGTCTGAAGTGTGTATGTGGTGGCACAGCGCCAAAATGCAGCCAGGAGCCCTTCTGCCACAGCAAAGGCCCTGGCTCACAGGACTAGCCACCTCGGGACACCCCAGCAACGAGCTTTTGGCCCTCACCCACCCCATCGGCACAGTACGGTTGGCACTAACCAAAGAGGGACGAGCAAAGCACTGCACAGGAAAGGAGGTGCTAGAAAAACAGGTGAAAGCCCCAGAGATAAGCACGTGCTGGGGTCAGGAAGCTGCACCGAGCATACGTAGGAAAAGATAACTTTTCACCGGAGGCACCTGCCCACCCATACGGCCACGACTTGGCTGTCTCTTGCAGCTGGGCATCCGCAGACTTGGGCAAACGTGGGGCTTGGGGTGAGCCCCCCCTGCCCCCATACCCTCCCCTGAGCCCTGACACTTCTAGGCTGCAGGTAGCCAGGCCAGGCTTTGCTCCCCCCATCATTTTTACACCTTCAGGATGGGCCATGAGCAGAGCCAGCCCCTGGGAGAGGGAGAGCTGCTGGCCCACCCCGCTGACCCGCTCGGCATGAGAGCCCTCATCCAGGCAGCGAAGCAGCTGAAACCATGAGCTCAGAGCTGGAGAATGGCTGGCATCTGGGGCTGGTATGAGGCACACGTCCCTCCCACCCATCCACTGCCCTTGAGGAGGTGGACATGGACGCTGCAGCCCCCACTCTGCCTGGAACAAGGACTCACTGCTCCCCAACTCCCCCTGGGCAGGCTGGATACTAGCCCTCCCCCGGGCTGGAAGGAGCACTCAGCAGCACGCCGAGTGCGCCTTGCTGGGGGACACAAGGCCCCCCACAATCCTGGAGACACAAGGCTTCCTCCTGCAGCTCCAAGACCCCACAGCCTGCCAGGCGCACGGGCAAGCTAGAGAGGCACTGGGCACAGGCACCCCGGCATAGCAGGCTCTGGGGACATGGCAATCCTCCCTTGTGCCCAGCGTGGGTGCAGATACTAGTTCGGTGAGGGAACCTCGGCAGGGCTGGAGACCCATCGGCCATGCATGGAGCAGCCCAGCTGCAGAGCTGAGCTCCAGCCTGCACCGTGCACCCTAAGTGCCTGGCACAGCTCCAGCGGGAGACCCAGAGATCTGGAGAGGACGTCTGCAGCAAGCAAGCAGGGAAGGGAGGAGAGCCCCCGTGCCTTTCCATCTGGCGAGCGGGCCGTCAGCCAGAGCTCCACAAGAACAAAGATTTGCTTTTAGAGCCGGGGAAGGGGGTGGGGAGTAGCACAGCCCCTCCGCCAGCCTCCTGTGGAGCCGAGGTGTGTGGGGAGCCAGCGAGGAGTGCGGCTGCGTTGGCGGTGCAGAGCCCCCAGCACAGAGCCCCCAGCACGGAGCACTGAGAGGAGGGGCACCACAGGGGTCTGGAGCCACACGTGGGATGCTTGAGGTTTCCGCGGGTTTCTGTTCCCCTCGCCGGGAAACCAGCTGCGTCCAGATCCCTCCTGCTCCCAGCACATACACACATGCTGCCCTCCTCTGCCCTGGCAAGGCTGCCCTTCCCGCACAGATCCCTGAGCCGGGGTGCCCCAGATCCTAGGGAGCAGGGTCACCTGCACCCCTTCTTCACAGAGTGGAGAAACAGGGTGCAGAGCCCAAGCCCGGCCGCAAGCAGCACCACTGCCAGCGCCCGAGAGCCTCCGCCCCGAGCCACAGCCCTCGCTGTGCTGGGGACGGGGAGGGAGCCAAGGCTCTGCCTGCAGCAAGGACCGGCACCTCGCACCCCCCAAACCAACCCCACCTCCCCAAGAGGAGCCAGACATGTGCAGCAGGAGAGGAAAGGTTCACAACTCCAGCCAGGTGACAACATCCGCAAGAGACCTCTCTAACAGCTGGAGACTGCAGTGCAGAAGGGGCCAGGGTGGCACTGGTGGCACCAGTGTGGGCTCAGCCCCCCGCCCCAGCAGCACAGCGGGTCCTCCAGCCTGCCTGGAAATGGCTTGGCCACGGCCACGCGTGCTTCTGGGAAGCAGCAAGCCTTTCACAAAGGCTGGGCTTGCAAACACGCCGATGCCACCAACAAATAATGGCCTCGCTTGGCACGTGTGCTGTGAGGAAGGGGATCCCAGCACGAGCTGGGGGTGGAAGCAGCCTGCCTTTGGCTCGGGTGTTGAGCTCTCCCGAGGCGCCAACGCCTTCGCGGGCTTCCCCAGCGCCTGGGGCCACCTCCGCAGGACGGCTGGGCAGGGACAAGGCGAGAAGGCGGGAGGGAGCAGCCAGCGCACCGGGACCACTCCCTGGACTCCGGCGAGGGGAGGGCATGCTGCGGGGAGCAGGGCAGGGCAGGAAACGCAGCCCCCCCACCCCCCCGAGGGTGAAAACGGACTGGAAAGAGGATAAAAAAAGAAAGCCTGAAAAAAGCCAAGAGAAACACAGCGCTCAGGGAAAAACTCCTTAGAAGGAAAGGGGTGGATGCTTCCTCGACCAATTCACCCTGCTGCACACTGAACACACGTGGGGGCACCCCGCCCCGCATGCCCCTGCCTCTGCCCCACGGAGCACCGCTGCAGGAGCCTGCCTGGCGCCGGCCACCTCCCCTGGCCACCGGGCCAGCCTCCCCGGGGACGCCGAGGCCACCC